GGGGGGGGGGGGCACTAACAGTCGAAGACTTCTACACTTGGTGTTTCGGATCATAGTAGCTTACGATGCTCCCAAACCCTAAGCCCTGAGCAGGTTAAGGTTTTAAATCCAAAACCCTAAACCCTATGGCGGATTCAGGGTCCGGACTAAGTGTTTCATGAAAGTGTTTACAGTTTCGGGTGCAAGGGAAGAGGTCGGCTTAGGGCTTATAGGGCTATAGGGCTGAGGGGTTTAAAGTTTAGGGTTTAGGGGTTTAGGAACTATGGTTCTGGGTTTAGGGTTTAGGGGCTAGGGTTCAGGGTTTAGGGTTTGGGATTTAGGGTTTAGGGGGGTTTAGGGTTTAGGGTTTAGGGTTTGGGATTTAGGTCTCCGCGACCCGCGATGTGCCTGTGTGCGACACATGCCGGCCGCTGAGTATGGTGGATCTCGTTGGGCTGCAAACCGGCTGCACATGGTAGTTGTTCCTCTGCTCACCCTACAGGTTAACAAGGTCGGCTTCGGGTTCGGGGTTTTATGGTCTATTTCTCTGAGATTGTCGGGTTTCGGCGTTTTGTTAGCGAACGGGTCCAAGTGCCAGAAGATAGGAGGATATGAGGGAGTGCGTTTCTTGCTGGCATCTCCATCATAAAGCTTGTTCAATCGGAGCCCTATATGCACCCAACCAAACCCTCAATGGAAGCCCCACTTGGGATGCTGTTTCTCACTTTCTTTGTTTGCTGCTGGGGTTGAATGGGGCTGGGGCTGACAACAGTTTTGAGAGAGTAATGGCTTTGGGCTTATTCCTACGACTGAGGGCTCATAAAGGATAGTCTGTAGGATTGACGGCTCCAGTTGCTTCAAGGCTTGTAGGATTTCGAGTTGTCGGGACTCTGCGTTCGCGATGCGATTCCTGCCTTGAAATCTGGGAACCCTACACCACCCTGCAACCTTATATGCCCGATTCATAAACTCTTATCAAAACTAAACCGGCCATAAACCCTAAAACCCTACACCCAAGCCCTAGTAAACCCCAAACCCGCTCTGCACTACCGAAACCTTCTTTGAAAGGATCCTCATAAATTTCTATAGTAGAGCTTAGAGTAAGAATCTAGGAAAAGTAGCATAGCCGCAACTCAAAGCCGGAGATCCGGATTAACAAGGGTGATGGGATCAGGAGTTTAGGGGTTTATGGGTTTAGGGTTTAGGGCCAAAGTTTCGGGTTTAGGGTACCCAATAAGCATGGACATGAACACGCAAGGTTGCTTAAAATGTACCTTTAACCCTCTCTCGATCGATCTATCCATCTATCTCACTATCCATCGATCTATCTAGCCAGATATCCTGCTTTGCAACAAGTACATCTTCGGGGCCAAGGCACAATGTGATGCCTGTGCGTGCAAGTTCCTCGGATCGTCCAGAAACTGCAACTAAACCCCTAAACCCTGCACCCTAAGCCCCCAGACCTTCCAAGGTTTGCCTTAACCCCTAAACCCCTGAGCCCTACACCGTTTCCGGAAGCCCCTAAACCCTAACCCACAAACTCGAGGACGGTGTGCTAGCTCAGCTCTAGAAGCGTTCAGTTCGAGGCCATAGGCTTTGAGGCTGTCCGCTGCAGGCATGTCGGGCTTCTTTCGAGGTTTGGGATTTAGACGTTCCGCAAATTAGGGTACCTTATTTTGGGGTCCTGATAATAAGGATCCTACTATTTGTGGTACTATCTTGGGGTCCCCGATTGTCGGAAACCCTCATTTAGGCGTTCAGGGCCCTTGTGTTCTGGGATGAAGGGCTCTCAAAACCCAGCAACCCCGAGGCCCGGAAGCCCAACCCTAAACCCAAAACCCAAAACCCTAAACCCTAAGCCCGAAACTTTTTTTGCCACCTCCCGGCTCGACTCAATGGGTGCTAAACTTAGGGGCCGAGTACCTTGTTCTGTGATTGGGGACCAAAAAAGGGTTTAGGGTTTAGGGGTTTAGGGGTTTAGGGTTTCGGGTTTCGGGTGTAGGGTTTAGGGTTTAGGGGTTTAGACCCGAATTTAGAGAGCTACCCCTATAGAAGGAAGAGGTCTCGGGGCTAAAGGATGGTACAATAAGCTTAGGGGCCGAGTTCCTTGGCCCAATAAAGGTTAACCTTTTGAATTATGATAGGTTTATAGAAGCCGCAAAAGGTTAAACGTTACCTACTCAGCCCCTAAGCAAACCCTACCGAAGCCCAAACCCCCAACCCTGAAGCCCCAGCTGCAGGGAAATAAAAACAGCCACTGGCCTTCATCAAGATTCGCACCGAGCTCAGAACCTACCGGTCCATGTGCCCAAATAGTCTATTCTTTGACCCCAAAGTACCTACATAGGGACTACTCTAAGGCCAAAGTATATACTATTTGGGTACATGGACCCTTAGGGAAAACCTCAAACGACTCCGGAGTCGCCTATTACCCAGAGAGCCCAATACCCCTTAAATAGGGAATATACCTTAAACTATAGGGGCCTTCATATTATGACTTAAGGTATATGCCTTCATTAAGGGGGGTTGGGCTCTCTGGGTAAGACCCTGCGACACGAAGAAAACGAGAGAATCCTCAGCCAAGGGACACTCGACATTAAACTCCAAATAAACCCTAAACTCGAAGCCCTCGTCAACCCCAAAAACCCAACACCCCCTTCGAAAAACCACAGAACAAAAAAACGAAAAACACGCAGAACCCTCAGCCAAGGGACATCAATATTCGGAGTGGGAATCTGCGGGGATCCGTGGAAGGATACGTCGTTGAAACCTCGCGGTGCAAGAAGTTGTCTCACAGGGTTGTTTAGGGGCTCTTAGGGTAGAGGGTGGAGGGGCTCTTAGGGTAGAGGGTGGAGGGGCTCTTAGGGTATAGGGTTTAGAGGCTCTTAGGGTATAGGGTTTAGGGGCTCTTAGGGTAGAGGGTTTAGGGGCTCTTAGGGTATAGGGTTTAGGGTTGTTCAGGGTTCTCATCTGGGTTGTGTAGGATATCATTCTGGGCTTTGTAAGGCATAAGGCGGCATGAAGGGATTCCGGCATATCTTTACGACTAACTATTTACGAACATAAATAAACAGATCAATAAAAATGGATATATACATATACATATACATATA